AGCATAATAGTTTATTTGTAACGCCAGTGTTGGACAGATAGCACTGCGGGCTCATTGGTCAGTCAGTACAGTCTACTCTGGGAAGTCCAGGCCAATTAGAGATGCTGTCTCAAAATATTTTTTCACACATAACACTAATTCGTTATAAAGAGAAAAGCATAGTGAAGTTGGTTAATTATATTCAGTTTAAGTAACTACTTGTAAAAGTCCCTTCTGGGGGATGTAAAAAAGGTTCACCCCTCCTCCCAAGGTCCCAGTGACAAATCAGTGAAATTACTGGACCTACCTACAGAGCAATGGGTGAGTGTCTCAAAATATTTTTTCACACATAACACTAATTCGTTATAAAGAGAAAAGCATAGTGAAGTTGGTTAATTATATTCAGTTTAAGTAACTACTTGTAAAAGTCCCTTCTGGGGGATGTAAAAAAGGTTCACCCCTCCTCCCAAGGTCCCAGTGACAAATCAGTGAAATTACTGGACCTACCTACAGAGCAATGGGTGAGGAGTTTCTGACAGGACAGCAGTGTGGGTGCACCTCCATAACGCTACAGCAGAAAGTCTTTACACGAGCATGGATGGTGCCTCCCCAGAAGCCACACAGATAGAGAGGACCTTCCTTTAGACATCCCCAGTCTATATACTCTAGTCCTTCCCTAGGGCACATGTAATTAGTGATGAATTGCAAAACATGGGTTGGGGCCTGTGGCTAGATACTCAAGTTGAGTCTTTGGGCCTCCTGCTATGCAGGGCCATCAGTAGTCAACATTCCCAGATGTGCACCTTTGGCAAGCTAGCACAGCTAAGCTCAGGAAATGTGTCTCTCTGACACAGAGGACAGTCCTGAGTAACATGGGCTACAAGGAAATTTCACTCCTAATTTTGAACTGTTAATCACTTTTAAACGCACTTGGTATTAAGCTATCAAAACATCAATGAATGTATTAGAAAAGGAGTCCTAAGATGTTGGATAAGCTCAGTGCAGTGGTAAGTGTTTTAACTGCTAGGTCTGGATTAGGCCATTTGTCCAAGAAGTTTCCTCTGTGTTACCCTTTGAAACGTTACCCTTCACCTCCTTGTTCCTCAAAGTATAGATGACAGGATTCAGAGCGGGGGTGACCACCGTGTACATCAGCACAGTAGCCTTGTCTGTGTCTGGGGTGTGGGCACTCTTGGGTTGGAGATAAGTGAACAAGGCAGTGCCATGAAACAGAGAAACCACCAGGATGTGAGAGGAACGTGTGGAGAAGGCTTTGTGTCTGCCAGCTGCAGAGGGGAGTCTCACGATGGTCACGAGAATGCGCACATAGGAACACAGGATGAAGACACAAGGATTCATAATGAAGACCATGGAAATAACAAACATGACTATTTCATTCTGGGAGGTATCCACACAAGCCTGTTTCACAACAGGCATGATGTCACAAAAAAAGTGCTGAATTTTTCCTGCTCCACAGAAGGGCAGAATGAAGGTCCAGGTGGTCTGGGCTGACTCCACCACCACCCCAGTTACCCAAGATGCCCCAGCCAACTTCAAACAGACAGAAGGGCCTGTTAGGAGAGTGTAATGCAGTGGGTAACAAGTAGCTATAAAGCGGTCATAAGCCATGGCTGCCAGCAGGCAGCATTCTGTCAGTCCCAAGATGGTGAAAACATACATCTGAGCTGCACAGCCTCCCACACTTATGCTCTTGGGCTCCACCAGCAGGTGCACCAGCATCTGAGGCACCACACTGGTGATGTAGCACATCTCCAGAAAGGAGAGGTTGGCCAGGAGGAAATACATGGGAGTGTGCAGGGAAGGGGTGACCCCGATCAGACAGATGAGGAGGTTTCCTCCCACAGTAAATAAGTAGATAGCGAGGAACACAAAGAAAAGGACAAGTCGCAGCTCTGCCAGGGAGGAAAAAGCCACAAGTGTGAATTTGGTGCAGAGGGATCGGTTTCCTGTCATCATGACCACAGAGTCAGACATCTGTAAAGACAACAGAGATGGCAGAAAGTCCCCAGGAAGCCAGTCATCCAGCACAGGTGTCTGTCAAACCTCAGCAATGGAGCTCGCCCACCACCTGTGGGCTAAGCTGAGCATTCACACCTGCACTCCTGTTACACACCCACTGTTAAAGTGAACGTGCATCTCTCCCTCACTTTCAGTTGTGCATCTTGACTTAGTCTCACAGAACCTTGGATAAGAAGCACATTTAAGTTACAAGTTCTAATTTTATATTGCCAAACTCTAATTATGTACACAAGATATTATATAGTAAACACACAATAAAATTGTAATTACAAAACAGTAGAAAATATATGAAAGTATCATATTCTGGTCTCTGGACCCCATAACCTTCCTTAAAGTTAAACTAAGACCTTAACAGGAAGTGTGTTTTCAGTCACCTTTTTACACACTTTCATGTGCACTAGTCTCAAATTTTTAAATAAATAGAATATTCAATGATTAGATAAGGAAGGCCCAAGGAAACACAAACCTAACAGAATCTCCTTTTGACAACCTTAATCTATGACTTTATTAATTATGACTGGGAAGGCATACTTAGTGTTAAAAAGTAGATGGGTTTCCTATAATTCCAAACTATAGCACGATGGCCTAGATGGCATTCTTATGTTTGGTAGAGACCGTGGGGATTATAGCCACCGCATGGTGTCATCAAGTCAGTCTCCAGAGGAGTACCTTCAAGGACATCAACAATGATTCTGTGTACAATTTAGCTTTTGTTTTGCCTACATATTGCCAGAAATAATGATTGCTGACAGCTATACCATTGCAGATCTCATAAACTAAAAGTTTTTATTTGTTACCCGTTATGTAACTGAAACATTGAATTTGACGACTTTGCCCAAGTGGTGCTCCTAACGTTCTGTTGTGCAGTTATCCCTCAGAGCTTTAGAATATGAGTGGGCATGGAACCAGAACGAGGCAACCGCCACGAAACCCACAGAGGCATTCTCATCCCTTCATCATGAGTGGTCAGTTTTGAGTAACATATAAGGTGCTTGCTATGCAAGCCTCATTACTTGAGTCCAGCTCCTGGTACTCACATGGTGGGAGGAAAGAAAACCACTGTGTGAGCAAATAAATAATAAGTAAATAAATAAATACTGCAATTTGAAATATTTTTAAAAGTTTACACATTAATTAAAATCCATTATCTTTGCAATGACAGTCTATATTCTCAGCTCCTTAAAATAAGAAATGAACGAAGCAGGAGAATAAGAGATCAGTTTTAAAGTTATTTTATATGGAGCTCTTTGCAGCTATGAAATGCAGTCAAATACGTGAGCTTATAGCACTCATATTCCTGTAGGGAGAGAGCAAATCAAGCAGAGGTGGAATGATGAATTGATAGATATAGGTAGACAGATGATAGATAGATGAATAAATATATGACAGATAGATGATAGATAGATAGATGATAGATAGATGAATAGATATATGATAGATATATGATAGATAGATATATGATAGATAGATGATAGATGATAGATAGATGATAGATAGATAGATAGATAGATAGATATAGATAGTAGATAGATCAGGGCACATGGTGTCTTAGTGGCCCATAGTCAAACATCTAGTTTCTATTAATAGATAATAGATAGATAGTTAGATAGAGATAGTAGATAGATCAGGGCACATGGTGTCTTAGTGGCCCATAGTTAAAAATCTAGTTTCTACTAAGGCCAAGTAGTCATCAATAGCTGTCTTTCTAAAAGAAAACAGTAATCTGTAAATGTTGGAAGAGCTCAAGAGTCTTAAGGATCCCCACTAAAATATGAATCTGGACCTATGAAAGCCCCAAATATCATCCCTATCTGGCACTGAAACCTTGAGTTTTAGATCATAGTCCCTTAGCTGTGGACAGAGGATTATTATGTGGAAAAAGGCATAAGCCATTAGAACTTCCTCTATCTCAGTTAACTGACAATTAAAAACCATGAATGCACTAAGAAGCACAATACCTAGTGGATCTATTTGGATTTTTGGAGTGGCACAATTGTAATTTTGGTGTGTTCCTTTGGTCATTTTACCAAGTGTCCTGAAAAGCTACTTTCTCTGGGTCCACCTAGAACAGAAAGCACTACAACCAGTCCCGGATGCTGTGCAAGCTCTTCCGCTACTGGGGTCAAATGATCTGAATTTTTTTACATTATAAGTGATGAACTAGAAGTGTCAAGTGCATTTATTTTGTGTATCTCTACAGTTAGTGCCACAATCCCTCTGTAGTCTATGTTACAAATAGATCTTAACATTGTTAAGTATAATCAGATTACAAGGTGAATTGCAAAAAAATCGAAAGAAAAAAAACAATAAGGAATCTCCTCCTGCAAATTCTGTTCCTCTGGAATCACTCTCGCTATCAAAATCTGTATAATAAAACTTTCCCTAGAGAGAAAAAAAACAAGGTGATAATCAGAATCTGGAAAGATGTGTGTATTAGTGCAATAGAGGCAGGAATGTTATAAGAGTAATCAACCACACTCTGATTGAATTTAAGCCCTGCTACATGAGATGTAACCCGATACTCTTATGTGGGGGCAGGCACAAATCTGCGACTAGGTAGATGATGGGCTCTTAGGGAGAACAAGAACCTGCCAATAATAGTCTTCTAAATGAATGTGGTATTAAAATGACTCCCAATGACTTATTGCTATACCCATGGATTAGTGCATCATTCAAACCTCATCAGAGAAGCTTCTTTCTATAACAGAGAATTGTCACAGAGACCCACAACAGGTTAATGCACAGACAATAAGAGACTATGGAGTGCTCAGATCTAAATGAAATTTTTGCATCATATCTTTTGCCCCCAAAGCTCAGAATCTTTGTGGAGGAAAGGGTGCAATGACTGTAAGCGCCAGATGGTGGATGACTACAAGGAAACAGTGTTTTGGAAGCAGGACAGTTGCACATATGAACTCATAGCTATTATTGCCACATACGATCTGGTCAAGCTCAAACCAGACAACATCCCAGGATGGAGTGGAAAGATTGACATGAAGTCCCACCCCTAACCAAGGTACTATTGGCCTTGGACAGCTTCTGGGAAAGGAAGAGTCATTTTTCTTTAAGGAAGTGGCCCTTGTTAGGTGGACCCCACTCCAGGGCTGGTAGCACTCTCAAAAGATATGGGTAACAAAAATTGGACTTGATGTGAAAAAAGAAGGTAGATGGATACAGAGGTGGAGATGGATCTGGAAGGGGTTCAACGAGAGGGAATGGTATGATCAAAATACGCTGTATGAGACTCTCAATGAATTGTTTTTTAAAAAATATTTTATTATTTTTATTTTGTGTCTGTGCGTGTATTGTCTGCAGGTATGTAAGAACACCCATGTAGTGCAATGCCCATGGAGGTCAGAAGAGGGCATCAGATCCCCTGGAACAGGATTTACTGATGATTATTAGCTGCCATGTGGGTGCTGGGAACCAAACCCAGGTCCTCTGCAAGAGCAGCCAGTGGTCTTAACAGCAGAGCCATCTCTACAAGCCCCAAAGAATTGATTTTTTTTAAATGTAAAAAAATGATATCAGTTTGGAAAAGAGGGACATTTCATGTCTGCATCTGGGGCAATTTTAAATATTAGGGCTGCTTATAAGTATTCATCTTTCCTTATCGTAAATAAATATTTTATTTGGGATGCCTAAAATAACTAACAAATTAAAAAATCAAAAGTCAGACAGGCAGACATAGACATAAATGATATATGAGAGAAATATTATCAGGGGAATTAGCTCAAATAGTTTTGGATGATAAGAAGTACCAGAAAGACCATTAGCAAGCTGGGCCATGGACTGTTGGTAGCATGGCTCAGTTCCACCTAGAAGCCTTAACAGTGGGGAAGCTAATGTCCTAAATGCCTTGGGCCAACACTCTCAGAACCTGGGGGCTGGGGAGTGGGGAGAGGTACTTCTGTAAGTCCTGGACTCCAAATCCAGTGAGCTTCGGCTGCTGCTATCCAAGGACAAGAGACCAAGAGTGTATGTTCCCTTCAGGATAATGACAAACACATTTGACATTTTCCTGCTTCTGTTGTATCTGGGATCCCTTCCATGTCCGACTATCACTACATTAGATGGGACTTGCCCACTTGACGGGATCTTCCCTAACTAGTCTACTCAGGCTTACATGCTAACTGAAAAATCACTGAACACACACAAGTGATTTATCAAATTAAGCTATGTCTTAATATAGGCAGGCTGACATCTACAGTATGATAGTTTCAGACAAAATCTCCTGCTTCAGAAAAAGTATTTCTCAGAAAAAATGCGCTCCTTTTTGTACTGCTGACTCAAGAAGCCTGTCCTGTGTTTTAGGGAACTGTACGCTCTGACAGTGGAGGCACTTTTCCAATGAATGTACCATACTAGAAAGCAGGAGACAATGCCTTGCCTGGCAGCGTGGCACCATATGGTGCTGCAGGAACACTTCACATCAAGCACGGTCAGTAACGAGTATGTCTTGGATACATTTTTATGACAAAATACTGACCTCCTCATCCTGTACTATGCTTTCTACTTAATGTGATTTTGAGATCAAAGGATGATACTGAGAAAAATAATACTGAAACGTGATTGAATATGAGACACTGAAAAGAAAAGAGTCACGACTTCCCTGTGCTCCCTCAAATCCACCTCTGTTCCAAATAACTTACAATGTTTGCTGAGATAAAGGCCAGGTGGCTACAGCTAGGACCATGCTAAGAAATCAGACTACAGACCCTCTGAAGTTAGCTCTCATTGTTCTTTAATCCATGGGGTGAAATTAAACAGAGAGAGGGAGAGAGACAGGAGAAATAGAGAGAGAGAGAGCACTGAGAAGGTTGATTATAGTAAAATAATAGTTTTGAAGGAAAGTATGAGTGTGATTGTACAAACTTTTCTGAGAATTTATAAAAACAATGCTTCAATTATCTGTTCATTTCTAACCTTACACTGACAATTGTTGACCTTAGGAA